TACAGGACAGCACCAAACCTGACCCCCAGCCCAGTGAGCCTCCCTGTGCTTCCATCTCCCTGTACACCTGGAACAGAAACAACCCTAAAATTCCCCAATTTTCTATTTTATTTACACCCTGCAATTTCATTAAATACTTCCCGTAACCCACAGAAGTGCTTCAAATTTAAAACACTTAAAATACAGAAAGGCCATACTTGCATGAACAAATTTAGATACCAACAAGAACTGCTGCCACACAGGGCATATTAAAAAAACAGTCTTCACTCAGCATCATTTTTAATATACTAAGGAAGGGATCATATTCTTTCTGGCAGCACAATAATAGCTGCAGAAGTCAACTGAGTGATGATTTTTAATAACAGAAGTTAACTTATAAGGCATGAAGATAATCCAGTGCAAGAGAATGGTCAGTAGAGTCCACAAAATGACATCAGGAATATTTTATTTTCATTTGGAAGATATCGATCTGCATTCTTGAGAAGTGCTTGTATTTTAAAACTCGTCTCTTATGAAACTGCAGCAAAAGGTTCTTGTCTGAAGACAGCCACTAGCCAAATGACCTCAGGAATTTAGGATTTACAAAGTTTGAGTTCGTTTTTACAGAGACAGCAAAAAGACTCCAATACGGATTTAACCGATCTTGTTTAGGATCCACCAACATCTCTCTGTATTGGACTAGCATAACAAAAAGTTCCTATGAATTGCATAAAGCTATTTTTAATTTGGATAAACATGCAGAGTTGACTATTTCCGCACTATTAATGTCATTCTTCTCACTCAGTCATCCTCATTTGTTCACACTATCCCTCATTGTAAACCCGTTTTGTCACAAAATACTCTCAATAGCTCTATTGACTCCTAAAACACCACCTCCTCTACTCCTTTGCTTTTCTGAATCCTGGAAACAGCCTCTACCCACCCACACCATTTGACACAGTATCCTGATTTAGTCTGGCTGATCATCTCCGATCATTCAGTATTGCCCACTCCTTATCTAACACATGCCCCATATCTACTTGTGCTGTCCAACACATCACACTCAGATTTCTTTGAAGCTTTCAGGGTCCTCTATCCTTTCATTTCTATTTTTATTGTAAAATTTCACCATCTCCACACTGAATTTCCATACCTTTAACAACAATTTTTCTGTTGTTTATCTCTTTTTGTTCTTACAGTTCAGACAGCTAAACAGAACACAGAGGAAAAGTTTATCCTCCTGAGTTTGTTATTTCTTCTCCTTTGCTGCCCTTTCTTTCTTCTACAGCTTCATACTTTTATATAATTTCTTCTTATTAAAGGCCAATAACTCAAACCAAACACACTTCCGTAGGATTCTTTTTGGTTTAAGCCCACTGTTTATAGGTCAGCATCCACTATGCTGGCAACTGCGTCCCTGCTCAGTTCCCAGCTGTCAGAAAAGTAATATCTAAGCCATCAATAAATCTATTCCTACAGTAATAAAAACCACAAACTCAAGCAGCACTGCATTCTTAGAAGCCATTTGAGAGGGTTCTACAGGCCATCTACGACTCCTGCTCAGAAACTTCTTTCTGGAGACCTGGTAGGCACCTTATCTTGTACCTCTCATGAATTACCTGTTTCAGGGTGTCTGCTAAATGTCCTGTGTTTACTCTGCATGCAATTTATGGATTAAAACAGGAGCTCGTAACCGGACATTTGGGACCACATAAAACTTAGGAAAAAAAAAATTCTTCAATACACAATCAGCTTAAAGACTATTTTCTGTATTTAAACAGAACTCTCCCACTTACAGTGATCCTTAGCCTTCTAGCGTTATTGTAACTCAAGAAGAAACTCAAATGGAGCTATTTCCTGAAACGTTACATTACAGTTGGGGAGGGGAAAAACAACAAACAAGCAAGCAAAAACTGAGCCAAAGGAAGGTCATCATCTCACATGTGTTCTAAGCAAGCACTGCTGTTAAAAGAAGTCCACCTGTTCTTCCCCTTCTCCTTTGTTTCTTGTTTCTAGGACTACATTCTCCTTGCAAAAGCAGTTTTCTCCGACCCTGACTGACACATGCAGCCAGCCATCACATCCTGCCACAGAACGACACTGCAGTAAGAATACTCTGCGGAGCTTGGACTGTTTTGAATAATGCAATATACAAGCCATGGCTCCTGTACGTGTTCTCACTTGCTCCAAAGAAGGAGAAAGGTTAGTTAACCAATCGTGCTCTGCACCCTGGTACAAGGTTCTACTCAAAATTAAATATTAGGAGTGAACCTTTCTGCTTATCGATAAAAACTGATACTTAAATCCATTTTATTTTAAACCTTTCCAGAAAGTGTAAGATTTTCCTCATTATTTATTTTAATCTTTTGAAATTATATTCTGAATTTAATAGAAAACGTCTTATCAAGGAGTGCTCTTTACATTCTAGGTTTTGACAAGGAATAATTAATATTAATTATATTTTAAAAATTATTATCCCTAAAGCAGGGAACCTTAGATGACCGGGTTGCCAGAAATATCTATTACAATATTAATAATTTAAAAATACAAGTGAGGTGGATCTGAAAGATCTCTAAATATCTTTGGAAAAATCTTAACTTTTTATATAGCTGTTCAGATGAAAAATAAAGTGAAAAGAGAAAAGAATATTAAAAGCTAAGAGTGTTATTTAGGGACTATATGATCTCAATGTCATATATGCTGTTGCTGCACATTTGGAAGGTACTACACCTAGCACTAGTACAGTATTTTAAATCATTATTGGGAGGGGAGGCAGGAATCATGTTCGGCCTTTCATTAAAACAATAAGAGCAAGAATACGGAAAAAAAAATGCCTTCTTTCTCATGAACATCTTTATTCATATACTCATGACATAAGACATCCCACTGAGCTGTGTGTATGTACTCACACACACACAGTACAGAGAAATCAGGTAAGGTGCAAATGAGTGTGCATTCTTACAGCATTATACGAATGAAAAGGCAATGCATAGTGCTTCTGAAGTAAATTAAGTAATATTCTGTGGGCACATAGGATACATATGAGGATATAGCCACAAAAAATAAAGAGAGCAGATAATAATCCTCAGTAACTGCAATGGAAACACCAGCCTCTGGCCTATGAAGTAGTAAAGTCCTCGTAACGCACACCTGCCTTAGTCAGGTTGCAAGCAGAAAAAACCCTACGTGGCCAGGCAGCTACCATCCTTAACATTAAAGAAAAGAAAAAGCCTTCTTCCAAGACTAAGACAAGACACTGTAAACTCAAGGGTTTTTTTTTTTCCATCATCATAATTAGTACCCTGAAAAGAAAAAGAAAGAAAAAGAATGAAGAGATTTATTTAGAACAACTGCAAATGACTCATTTAACCTGCATATCCACTAGGATAGATAACTTCTAGGCAGATAACTCTAAATGCAGTTTCCATGAGAACAGAGTTGCATCATGATATTTTTAATGTCTTCTCTTAGGAAGTAATCTACATTTAAAATATGGAAACTCGCAGGAGAAGCTAAACCAAAAGTTAAACTCAGGTTCATACCCCAGCAGAATACTTTTACTCTACAATAAAATAAAGCCATTCTATATAACAGTACCAAAAGGACAATATCCACGTTATTACTAATTGTGCCACGTTCATCACATTCTGGAACAGTGCTTTACTCTTCCCAGTAAGAAGCAATATAAAAAAAAAAGTATTCAACTAATTACTTAACCCTGTCCTATTAAACAAGCTCCAGAAAACATTCCGACTGTACATCTCAAACATCCAGGATGGAAAAGAACACCCACAGATGATGAACTACACTACACTGAACCACAGGACCCAAAGGTCACATCTGAAATAATTGCTACGAACGGTAAAGCAATCCCAAATACCAACTAAATAGAAAAGCTCCTTTAGAGAAAACAGGTTTTTTACTATTCAGAAGTGGTACTTGATACAAAGAAGGGAGTAACAGTGACAGTCAATGCCCATTCTGCTTCATCCCAGGAATTACTAAAAGGTTTTCAATTCACTGAAGACCACCTGGCTGCAGGTTTTGTAAGCCTGGCATCACCTGCAATATGTGGCATTGTTTGGTTGTAACTGGAAGAGAGTAACCATACCTTCCTGCTCCCAATGGTGCTAATCACAGGGTTCTGATTTGTATTGCATAAACTAATACCCAACTACTTACCTGTAAGAATCAAGAAGCAACTTTTTCACTGTAGTACTGACAGAACAGTGTCAGAAATGTCAAGAATAACTTTTTAAAACTCACGAGTTTTGGTAGGTCAGACACCAAGATCAAGAATGGCATGCAGAAAGCCTATTCTGAACACTATGGGCTAACCCTCAGAGTACCAAGAGAAGACAGTAGGCCAAGGACAGGCAAAGAAAAACTAAAAAAAAGCACCAGTGAGAAAGACACTGAGGAACTCTCAGCTTTGGAAGGAGCAGGCAAATGAGCTGGGGTCCCTGAACAGCACCAATCCCCAACAAGATCCTCAGCTGAACGAGGAGACATTTTTATAGGCCCTAGTTGTAAGTGAAGGAAACAGATCGCATGCTAAGTGGACAGTCTGGGGTGGGGGAATTCTCCATATGAGTCTGTCTAGGATTTTTTCTTTGTTTTTCTTTACAAGCAGGCACTCAAAGTCTGCCATTTCAAAGCCCGTTTCAATGCTGTCCTTTAGCAGCGCCTTCAAGGCAAATGGCTTTTGATCAGAAGAAAATCTTTCTAGAAAGGGTTTTTTACCTTGTAAGCAGAGCACAAGTGCAGCAGTAACACATTTTGAAGCACATGGAAAAACGCAGATGCGTTGTTTGCTGCTGCTGCTGGAAGAACTTCAAATAACGGGTTGGTAAGAATCCCGTTACTAAAGAACTTCTGCTAGCAGAAAGTTACATGTGACCTTTTTGTCCAAAAGCACTGTATGTCTAATAGACATAAATAGGAAGAGTTAAATGAGTAAATTAAGAACAGGAATACAATAGTACTATATATGGGAACTATAAGTGCTCATGTATTCTTACCTTCTTCTGCCTCATCCTCCTGGGATGACACAGGCCCTCCTCCACTTGCTGGGCTGACCAATTCTTCCTCTCTTGCAGATTCTCTTTGCAGACTGACAACTTCATAAATTGCATCCCCAGCACTTGTGTGGCTTTTTCCTTCAGACTAAAATAAACCATGTGTATGTATTAGGTCCCCACTGTTGATAAATACAGTTCTAATAGTATGCCAAACCCAAACACGTACAACCCAATCTCCTATGAAGGCTAAACAACAGTTCAAGCAAGGCTCCCTCAGATTTCTTTGCAATGGCACACACAGACTGGCAATAACTGACAGCTCCGCTTCTTGGAGTTCTATAGGTAGAAAATAAAAATAACACTCCATTATTTCCAAAGCTGTCTCTTAACAACCATTTTAAGTGCTGTTCAGAATGATGATATAAAAAGGTTTCTGATTTAAATATAGCTATAAGGAGGTGAGGTCAAGGAGAAACCACAACACAAGAAAAGAGGAGAGAACAAACAAGAAAAAATGTCAGAGTAACTGACACTATAGGAACAGGAATTGAATGCTGGGGGGGAAGTAATGGTAGGTAAAGGCAAGACTAAAAAAATAACAAAATCTCATGCTTTTTGAAAGTTATAAATTGTGAAAAGCTCCTTGTAGTGTTTTACTCATTACAAAACAAGTAAATAAATAAATAAAAACCCAGAAAATGTATCTTTCTTCTAGAGATTAACTTGAATATATTCCTTTCCATGGCGGAATGTATTGGCAGTACCTAGCTATAAAACTGGTGTTTGCAGCCTAAGCTTTATTTATTTCCCACTTGTGTGTATATATGTGTGTGTGCGTGTGTACAGACCATGTGTGTCTGCCAGTCTAACATTAAACTAGCTTGGAAGCGTCTATTTTCTGTGGAAAGCACTTTGCTCTGTAAAAGCAGTTTCTCTCCCAAATCTGCCACTTTAGGAATCTGGTAACTTTCAACACAAATTACCTCAAGAGTTGGGGGGCAAGGAGAAGTTGTTTGTTTTATTTTTACTTTAGGCTGAAAAAGTTCAGAGTTTATTCTAGAGTTTTTCATGTTTCGTCTTAACCACTCCCTCCCTCTGTAGAATTGAGCAGTGTTTGTACAACCTGACTTAAAAGCCAAACTCCAAGGGACTGACAAACTGAAATACTTCAGAACAGAGTTTGCTAAAAAAAAAAAAAGATTATTTCTTTACTGCTACTTGAACGTTTCATAAGGTTACAATCATCAGCAAGAAATCACAGGAACAGTCCTAATTTAATAAATCACTGCAGCAATAATGGCCCTTAGCCTCACATTTCAAAAAAGCCCTGGAGCAGTGAAGGACAAGAACACAGCTCATTTTACGCTCTCATCAGCAGTCACAAGGGTGAAAACATGGGTACTTCTCCATGCAGCAGAACTTTTCCAAATAATCTTCCAAACTTCTCTTATCGAAAACACAGAGAAATTTACCTTCCCAGAGACTTTGAAAAAACAGCAGCGATAGCCTCTTTTAACCCTCTGCATTAGGTTCCTCTGCCTTTAATTGATTATATTCTTGCAGCCACCTACCCTCACGTTTTGAACCTCGGTAGCCAGGATGTTCTTTTGGTACACATTATTTGATTTTACAGTGAACAATCAGAGCAATCTCCAAGTTTTACCAGTCAAATAGATTTGCTTTAGACATCCGTATGCAGGTCAGATTTTATGAAATCACAGAGAATTAGACAGGTAGTTTCAAAACTGTTTAAACCCACAAAGCCAACGACTTACGACTCATCATAACCCAGTTTACAAAGGCACTGAACATTTAAATATGCATTTAAGCATCTCAGCAATAACTAGTTAGAAGAAACAAACTAAGAGACGCAGGGTGCCATGCTAACTTGCATAAAGGCCAAATTAAGACAGACAGAACAAATGCGCCCAGCATCAGCTCCTCTTTAAAAGAGACATACAATACCTGTTTTAACTTCATATAAAAAGTTTCTGTGAAGGTTTTTCTGCTGAAGTACCAGAAGCGTTCATTGGCAGGATACACACGCACGACAGTCTCCAGCAAAAAGCGCACTGGCTCTACCACTTCAGTAACAACCATATCCACTGCCACAGTCATGAATACACGCTTATCTAAAACACAAAAATAAGTCACACACGGAAAAATTAGTCAAATTTCAAATGTCTCAAAACAATAAATGACAAATGTAAACTGCTGTTCAAATTGATAACCCTTTCTATATAATTATTGATTCCACTGTACCCAGTTTATCAGAATTCTACCCACTACATGCCTGCTGAATGAGAGTATGCATCAAACAGTGTACCAAGTAACTCTGAGAACCTTTTAAAACAAAGACAATGTATCTTTGTTTTAAAGACATGAGCAAAACATAATGCAAAGAAAACAGCATATTAGGATCTATGATCCCCATCAAACAAAAGGAACATGCACAGGACAAGGTCACATTTTAACGTTTCAACTCACTGCAGAGGGAATACATGTATACGTATAGCAAATCAGTGTCGAAGATCTCCTACAGCATTGTTTGTCCTAAATCCTCTCATAACACCAAGCAATACTTCAGATACTTTTTTTTGTTCATGTTCGTACACTGTCATTTACAAGGACTCAAAATGTTTTACCCTTCCCTGTCCCACTCTGGGTCCTCAGAGCAGAAAAACATATTTTTAAAGCAAAGCACAGATCAGTAATCTCAACCTGTAATAGCTCCATCTTCCTGATACTCCAACTCTTTCAAGTAGAGGAGAACACAGGATCAAGTGACCAGAGGATGAGCCTGAAATAGTCCAGGTGTGTCTTGCAAGTTTACAGTGCAAGAAAAGGTTTGCTGCTTCTGGAAACACTCACCAGAGAGAGGGGCACGAACCATCACATTGCATCACAACTCAAATCTTTCTTGCAGGAAGCACAGATTTTTAAAATAAGGATTTAGGCTCAGGCAAGGTTCCCTTGTCTTATTAGACCAAAACAGCAAGTGGGTATTTAAAAAACCAACCAACCAACCAACCACCAAACAAACAAATCCCACCAAACCACACTGCACACAAAGACATATTTGTGAAATGGAAACTGTGTCAAACTACACAGCAAGATTTTTTCCCATATGCTACTAGAAATGCTGTGTTTTAAAATCCAGCAGTAGTACCACCAACACTGGCTGTATATACCTGGATACACCTTTAAGGAACTGATGTGAGCTCTGCCTTGGGATAGGAAACAAACTCCTGGTTTGCATTCAAACCTTTCACATCACATCAGAGAACATCAATTCTAGTGATAAGAAATTGTGCTTTATAATCAAGCACTTCAGAGCATCACTTCCAGCTGCCCCAAGATGAAGGGGGTATAAAGCTATTTGTAATCAACTCACCTCAAAACTAAAAGAAAAAAAACCAGCAACGCCTATGATTTATACTGCTTTGCTGAGTACAGAAGGTCGAAAACAACTTTTGCACGCTTAGGACCAAAAAGTCCAAATAACAGGAAACACGCACATAAGCCCCAAACACTAACTGAGCGCCTTCAAAACAGCACAACACAGGTCTATGAACAATTACTCACACGTCTATGTTGGATACGTTTCCACAGCCAAGTTCCTAGTCACAGACCCTTGGTACATAACGGTAAAAGTACTCAGGCATGTGCATTGTGATTCCCAGGAGAAAATACATACGCTAAACCCATGTCAGGTAAAACAAGTTTACAAATCAGATTAAATTACCTTTAGGAGTTTCCTCATTAAGTACTAGAAACATGGGCGCGTTAGGATTCCACATTCCAGTAATCACATAAGCCTTCCCATCAGAACTCTTTCC